AGGGAATGACCCAAGTGCCAGTGGCTCACGCCTGTAATCCTAGCTACTTGGGAGGCTGAGATTGGGAGGATGATGGTTCAAGGCCAGCCCAGGCAAATAGTTTGAGAGACCCCATCTCCAAAATAATCAAAGCAAAATGGACTGGAGGTGTGGCTCATGTGGTAGAGTGCCTGCTTTGTAAGTGTGAAACCCTGAGTTCAAACCCCAGTCCCAGCAAAAAAAAAAAAAGAGAGAGAGAGAGAGAGACTTTGGCCAAAAGCAGTGGATTTCTTAATTCTGTGTTGCCTGTCTTTGTTCCCTGAATCAGTATTTCCTCCACCAGTTCCAAACAAGGACTGACCCTTCTGATCCCTCTGTGCCAATGTGCACACTGCCACTTGACCAGAGGGCTTTGCCTCTTCTGGAGGATTCCTAGCCAAGAACAGCCACACTGACAGCCACTTCTCAGGTGCCCTTCTGAGAGTTCCCATGGGCTATTCTCCCCCCAGCTTCCCTCCTGATACAGCCCTTGTGGTCAGCAACCCATTTCTGTGTTCTCAGCACCTGGCATGACACAGACACAAAATCCTACCCAGGTGAATGAAGAATTAGCCTGAATCCTGGGCCAGGGGAAGCAGGACCCCCCACCCATCACCACCACCCCGAGGCCTAAGCGGACATCCTATAGTGCCATCACCTGGACAGAGCCACGCCAGCAGCTACAGCCCAGCCTGGGGGCTCACTAGGAATGCAGCTTCTCAGGCCTCAGCCCTGACCTGCCTCATCAGGAACCCTGGCACAGACAGCAGCTGGCGCCCTAGGTCTGCACGGCCTGGGGAGGCTCAGACATCTTGACTTTGAGGATCACTGTTCGAGGCTGGTTGTGTTCACAAAGGTGAAGCAGCTGCAGTCCCTAGGGACCCCCAACAGATGGAAGAGGCAAAAAGGAGACACTTGACCAATGCTTTCAGGGCCCTGGCATTGCATGGGCTTTCTCTTGGGGACACTGGGCAGGTGACACCCAAAAGGAGAGCAAGGGGTCACAGGAGGAGGAAGAAACCTGAAGCAAAATGGAACAAAAACAGACAAAGCACCAGGTTGACACAGGGAGGCAAGGCAAGGTCCAGGAAGCGTGTTTAATTGGCGAGACACAGACGACATACAGCAGGAGCAGGGAGGAGGCCCGGACATGCAACAAGGCGCTGTCACCCCAGCCTTGTCCTCATCTGGCCCACACCAGCAAGCAAAGGCCTCCTCTTCTCCCCCCAGGACATAGACAGGACGGCACCCCAAAAAAGAGACTCTGAGGGCACTGGGCAGGCAAGCGGGCAAGGACACACACACTGCAGCCGGGACACACTGCCTCTCGTGCTCGTTTTTGCAAGTTACCCCAATTCTTTTCCAAAGCTGCAGGATCTGAGGAGGGGAACCGATAATTCAAACCTCTGCTCTCGGCACCGGCCTGTCACCCCTGCAAGGGACCCTGGCTCTGATGCTCATAATTAGCCCTCAGATGGGGCCGAGCTCCCACCTGAGATTCGGACCCAATGAGCAGAAGTGACTTGCCCAAAGTCCTTAAGGAAGCTGGTGACTGAGCCAGGCTGGGTGGCCCTTTGTGAGTCATGGACCCCTGCAAAGACACAGGGAAAATAGAAGAGGATGCATGTTTGCCCGGCCCCAGGGAAGCGACAGAGCCTGGGCCTAGATACCATGACAGAAGATGGGACCAGCTGTTTATTCAACAAAAGCCTTTTATTCATTCAAAAATTAACCACTGGGTTTATTCCGCAGGTTAAAAAAAATAATAATAAAGGAGGGAGGGCAAGACTTCCCACCAGTGCCCTTCTGGAACTGTCTTGCTAGACCCAAGGATGACCTAGCAGAGGGGCATGTGGGAATCATGCTGCCATTAACGTGGAGCTGGGGGCCCAGGGCCTCCAGGAATCACAGCCCCTCCTGGTCCCCCCACCTCTAACCTCCAACTCCACTACCTGCTGGGTGGCCTTGGAGCCCCAGAGGCCACTGCTGCTCACCACCACCAGGGGGCACCTTATACACATCCTGGATCCCATGGATGCTGAAACAGCACTGGGGAAGGAATATGGTGGCTTTCTGCTTGGAGGGCAGTGCTGGGGGCTTTCCCTGGAGAGATGCCAGGACTCCCCCCACAAAACCCTCCCTCCAAAGAAGAGACAAGTCCCTGAAAGCCCAGGTGCTACTGCCTAGGAAGTCAGCTGTCAAAGTGCAAAGCATTTCAGGGGAAGAGATGTCAGTACAGAGATGACACATTCGTTCGCCTTGATGTTATTTTAAACATCGCCTGTTAAATATTGGAAAGTCATGACATTTGAAGTCACCATCAACACAAAGTTGGGGACAGACGCTTGGAAGAAGAGAATGGGCCACAACAGAATGCCATCCGAGACTGGGACCAAGGGCCCGGCCTCAGGCTGGACCTCCGGGGAGCAGCATCAGGTGGACGGGGCCTTGGGTGGAAACAGGGTTTGGGGAGAGGCCCTCAGGCTGCCCTGCACGGGAGGTGTCTGGCCTCAAATGCTGAGTGTGCTGAGCCTCCACAGCTCCAGGGAGAGGAAGGGAAAGATCTCAGTTCCTGCCTGGCAACCTTGAGTGAAAATGGCTCATTCCAGTGATCTGCAAGAAGATGGTAGCTCTTCTGGCAGCTCTGGGCTGTCCTGGAGCATGAACTGAAGGTGAGCCCAAGGCTTGGGCTCAGGGTGCAGTCCTTAAGGATGCTACTTGCTAAAACCAAAAGCCACACTGAGGTTGCAAACTGGAAAGTCAGGATGCCGGGTGGGAGGCCTGGTACACAGATACCCAGTGGACATCAAGAAACAAGAAGTCTCAGCTGGGGCTCCCCATGCTTAACTATGCAGTCTTCAGCCACGAGTTGCTTGGTCTCAGGAACTACAAGACAGCATTCCAGCAGAGGCCAGAGAAGTAACGTGCCTGAGAAAGGCCCCACTCTCATCCCCTCCACCCCAGGTCACCAGGTCCACCCTGCCCCAGACCCTGGCTAGAGCCAGACTGAGGCACTGCAGTGATGGATGATGAGGCTTGGGCCTCCTGGGCCATTGGCCAGTAGGAAGCTGACCCTCCTGGTCTAGAAAAGTCCAGCCTTCAAATTGCCTGTGAGGTGGAGCTGCTGCTCCCTTTCCCTGCGGGATCTTGGGGCTGATGGTAGGCCCAGGGCAGCTGAAGGGTCTGCCTATACAAGAGAGCGCATTTCTGGGGATGGCTGAGTATTTGGGCCAGCAGGAATGGACTCGCAAGCCCCCACCCCCACCCCCAGTAAGCTATCCCCTTGTTGGAGGACGGCCATTCTGGCTGAATGAAGGCTGTTAGCCGTGGTGTCACTAGCGGGGGTGACAGAAGTGAGGTGGTCACCATATACAATTCAGAGTGGAATGGCGGGCCAGAGGACAAACGGTGCACTTTGCAAAGCAGGAGCAAGACTGTGGCCCCAGGCCTGGCCTCCCCTGCTAGGAAGCCTTCCTTTGAGGAAGATGAGTTCTGAGAACAAAAGGAACTCAAGCCCGGGTGGACCACGAAACTCTGAAGGGAAACACAAGGTGTCCCTTGTGTGTCACTGAGCCACACCCACACCCAGCAGCCACAAGCCTGAAGACTTCTACCCAGAGACCAAAGAGGGGCTGTGCTGTAACTCAGACAGTCCTGAGACTAGTAAACTTAGCCACTGACCACAGAACCACAATCAGGAAACTGAGCCACAGGCTCAGAACTACAAGATGTCAGCAAGGAAAACAGCCTTCAAAATCGACCATCTGGCCTCCTGGTTCTGCGGTGGAGGCAGCTGAGGCCCAGAGGGGGCAAGGGCTTGCCCACAGAGCAATGGCAGACCTCAGACTCCTAACCTCTTGCCAGGTTGCCTGACCTTCCTGGTGACTTGGACAGAGGCAGCACTAAGGAGCCTCCTGGGAGGACAGCGGGCCACAGCCCCCGAAGCAGAGGTTGGTCTCAGCAGGATCTCTGGACCCCTCTTGTCCCAGCATCTGATGAACGAGAGAGCAGGGACGGACACCATGTGGCCTGGTGCAAACAGCAGACAGGAAGGCAGGAGAGCAGGGTGGGCGAGCCTGTGTCCTACTTCCACCACCTCACTTGCAAAGGCCCCCTCCTTCCTCTCCACTGTGTGCCCAGACCCCTTTCCTGGCTCCCACTCCTATAACCAGGCTCTCCATTTCCCACTGTTAGCAACACCACAGCAAGAGCTGAGAAACCAAAAAAAAAAAAAAAAAAAGTCCCCTGTGTGTCCTTGAAAAAAGTGTCATGGACCCCGAGGAGGGCAGAGGAGCAGGTGGAAGCAGGAGGGCAGAAGCATTCAGAAGGAGGGTTGGGGGTGGGGGGAACAGTACGTTAGCCATTGAGGGATTTCCACCTTTCCCCTCCCCAAACATCCAGCACAGTATCTGAAAAAAGAGAAAAAAGGAATGTTTTTGGCTTCCTGGCTGCTGCAGGTCACCATCCTCCCAAGCGAGTGGGCAGGTGGGTTGGGCGAGCACATGTAAACGGGAGGCCCGCATCCTGGGGGCTTCAGACACACGAGGCAGCAGCAACGGTTAACGACTAATAAATAAAAGGTATCAATTATATATGAATATTAAAAAAACCTCACTTTCCCCACAAAAAGCACAATACTGTCATCACGGAAAAGAATCTGCATCGTGTGAGCCACGCCGGTGGGCTTGCTGCTCAAGGATGGGCCGACAGGGACCCTCTCCGCACGGTCAGAATCTTCCAGAACAGAAGGTAGTGTTTTGTCTTGTTTTGTTCTGTTTCCCTTTAAAATATCCGCCACACGGGACAGCAGGAGGGATGGAGCGGCTGCCGCAGGCGAAGCAGCAGTTCTTGGTTTTGCAGAGGGCTGCAGGCTTTCCTGTTTCGGTGTCGTGTTTGGGACAAGCAGAGGTTGTTGGCGATTGGAGCCGGTGGCTTCAGACGGCTGGAGGGTGCAGAGGTGGGCTGGGGTGGGCCGGGGCCTCGGCTGTGTGTGGGTGAGGAGGGCTGGGTGGGCACAGGGGTGGCGTTGGCTGAGGTGGCCTCATGGCACGGGAGGAGGCGAGTGGTTCCCAGGCATCTGGAAGAGATAAATAAGGAGGTGAGGTGGGTTAAAAGATGGTAGGAGGGTCCACTAGAGAGAGCAAGGTGACATTCTGTGTCAGGAGTCCTAAAAATGTGCATAGCCTTTGACTATGTTCACCAAAGAAGTACATTGTGTAATAAATAGCAAATATCAAAAAGAGGCAGGGAGAGGTAATAACCTAAGTGTCCAACAGCAGGGGATCGTTTGAATACACGAGATACCAATAGGATAAAATGGTTTGCAACCACTGAACACCAAGCGTGAAATGGCCAGTCAGCATAGGAAATGAGACTCACTATCAGTCATGAGGGAAATGCAACTTGAAACCACAGCCATGTACCATCCACTTCCCCTCCACCAGGATGGCCGTTAAGAACAAAGAGAGGAATAAGAGTTGACAAGAAAGTGGAGAAACTGGAACCCTGGTCCATTGAAGGTGGGAAGGTCAAATGGTGCAGCCACCGTGGAAAAGCTTGGTAATTTTTTGAGAAGTTAAACATGGAATTACCATGTGACCTGGCAGCTCCAGTCCACCGTATCAGCCAAAGGACTGACGCTAGGTACTAAGAACTCACAAGTGCCCATCGCTCACACCAGCCTCATCCCTAACAGCAAAGTCTACCAGCAGGCGCAAGGACAGACCATATGTGGACGACCCACACGATGGGCCACTGTGCAGTTATAAAAACGAAGGGAAGGGCCGAGGTGTGGTCTGAGTGGTAGAGCACCTGCCTAGCAAGTGCAAGGCCCTGAGTTCAAATCCCGGTCCCACCAAAAACAAAACTGAATGAAGGTCTGACGCATGACCCAACATGGATGACCTTGAAACGTGCTAAGAGAAAGAAGTCAGATGTGACAGGTCACAGAGCATGTGATTCTGCAGCACCAGAACCGGTAAATCCAAGGAGTCAGAGGGCAGATGGTGGCTGCCCGGGGCTGGGGGCGGGGGAGGACAAGGGGCAGAAAGTGCTTAGCAGGAAGGATGTTTATTTGGGAGGAACGCAAGTCTTTCAGAGGCGGTAACAGGGAAACGGCAGATGCAGCAAATGCTGCAGACTTGATCACTGTAAAATGGTGACATTCGCATTACGTGAGTTTAGGGGAGCACGCCTGTGACTGTCTGCGTACCCCCAGAACGTTCCCTGTCACCGGCTCTGCAGCCATGCTGAAATCACGCGTCCTGGCTCCCCCATGACTGGACAATCGAGGGGAGCCAGTTCCTGATCTGTGGGATGAGTTGAGAACTTTATCTGAGTCCATCGATTCCTTGCTCAGGAATTAGAACGGGAAAAACTGGAAGGAGGTGTCAGGTGTTCCTACAGTGTCCCAGGAAGTCCCCGAAGGAGGAGAGATGGGAGGCCACTGTGGTCCAGGAGCAGAAGGAGAAGACAGAGGCTCACGGCAGGGGGAGGGAACAGAGTAACTGCCCCGATGGCGGCCAGAGTCCCCCAGGGCAGAGTCTGTGTTCTCAGAGAATGGCTGTTTGCTTGTCCCATGGTTCCCTGCAGCCTCGGGAGCCATGGCTGCCCTCCCCAGTGCCGTCTTTGCTTGCCTCGGTGATTGCAAACCTCATGATTTGCACTTCTCTTCTTGTGACAACTTAAGGGGGGTCTCTGTCTCCTGCAGTGCAAGAAGCTTTGATTGAGGGCCGGACATGGTGGCTCATGCCTGTAATCCCAGCTACTTATAAGGCAGAGATTACAGTTTGAACAAAAAGTTCTGGAGACCCCATCTCAACCAACAGCTAGGTGTGGTGGTACACACCTGTCATCCCAGCTATGCATGAAGCATAAATAGGAGGACAGTGGTCCAGGCTAGCCAGGACAAAAACATGAGACCCCATCTCTGCAATAACCAAAACAAAAGGGCTGGAGGTGTGGCTCAAAGGGTAGAGCACCTTCCTACTGAGTCTGAACTGAGCTCAAATCCCACACCACTAAAAGAAAAGCTTTGATGGCGGTACTGGGATTTGAACTCCTACATGAGTAAGAGTACTCAACATGGTATCGAACTGCTACTTAAAAACCACTCATCAAATACATTCAAAGCCATAAATTCATGACATTGGAAGGAAAACTTCACATTTTCGCCTGCTGTGACAGCAAATTGTTGGCGAGGTTTCTGTGCAGGATTCACCCCATAACAAGTGAAGCAGGAAAGGTGGCATGAGGGCACGGCTCTGTCACCTGACGAGTGTCTGAGCACTGATGTCACCAGATGCGTGTGCCTCCTGGCGCCTGCACATGATGCTGGTGAGCTGTCCACACCCAAATGAACCAAACTGAATTCCAAAAAACTGCCAGTCTAACTGCAAGGAAGAGCAAGGAACAGAGGCGCACGGCAGCACCAGAGAGAGCAATCCGTGCGCTGCAGTCCTCAGGGTGTGTTCACCACAGGTGCTCATCAACAAACAGCAAGAGAACACAGTGAAGGGGAACACGTGCAGATAAAACAAAGTTCAGAGACCTGACCACCAACTGCAGTCGATGGACTGTGTTCACATTCTGATTTTGGTAAATAAGCCATGGTGAGCATGCCTGTAATCTCAGCTACTTGAGAGGTGGAGGTAGAGGCTTGAGGTCTGAGGCCTGCCCAGGCAAAATCATGAGATCCTATCTCAGAAACAAAGCCAGGCACTGGTGGCTCACGCCTATAATCCCAGCTGCTCGGGAGGCTGAGATCAGGAGGATTGTGGCTTGAGTCCAGCCAGGCAAATCGTTTGAGAGACCCCCATTTCCAAAAGAATCAAAGCAAAATGGACTGGAGGTGTGGCTCCAGTGGTGGAGCTCCTGCCTAGCAACCTGAGTTAAACCTCAGCACCGCAAAAAATAAATAAAAGAAAATAGAGAGAGGAAGGTGAGATAATAGGAAGTCAGTCAGAATAACAACTGGAAACTGGAGGGCATAAAAGAGCATTGATTTTTTTGTTGTTTTACGGAGTCTTTAAAAAGAATTTTTGTATTTCAGAAATACATTTTGGAATGTTTGTACATGAAATAATATGGAGTCCTAAATTTGCTGCAAAATAACTCAGTTGGGGGTTGAGAGAGGGAGGGTACAGAGGGCAGAAGGTTGGCCATGAACTCGTCACACTATTTCCTCCTGCTGTGTATGGAAGCTTCCATCATAAGAAAGCAAGTCCTCCCCGAGTTTCCAACAACCCAAATGTCCATGCCAAGGGACCAGCAATATAGTGGAATACTATGCAGCCAAAAAAAGGATGGTGGTCTCCTCAAAAACTCAAAATAGAACTGCCCTATGATCCAGCAAGCCCACTGGGTATGGAAATGAAAGAGGACACTGAAGAGACGCCAACACTCACATGTTCGCTGCAGCTGTGGTCACAGCAGCTGAGACGTGGAGTCAACATGAATGGCCATCAATGATGATGACAAAGCAAATGTGACATAGACACACAACAGAGTAGTACTCAGCTCTAGAAAAGAATGGAATTCTGTGACTTGCTGCCACATGGATGGAACTGGAGGACACTGTGTTCAGGGTAGTGAGTCAGATGCCACATGTGGACCAGCAAGTCGATCTCAAAGGAGAGGGCAGTACAGAGGGCGTGCTGGGGGAGGGAGCGGGTGGTTAGTGCACACAGGGGTGCAGCTGGGTAGAAGAAAAACCTCTAACACTCTGCAGTACAGCAGGATGACTCCAGCTGGCAACTGTGATGGCTCATATTGTCCCCTTGACTGGATTGAGAAGTGCCCAGGAGAGGAGGGAAGCCCTCGTCTGGGGGTCACGAGTGCCCTGACCTAGTGAATGGATGAACCCGATGGGAGGTGGTAAAAGGCAGGACGGGGCCCAGCTGGAGGAAGTAGGTCCCGGGGTGGGTGGGTGGTCTTTGGGGACTTTATCTGCCCTGGCCCTTTCCTGTACCCCTTTTCCTGCTTCCTGGCCTCCATGATATGAGTGGTTCAGCTCAGCCACACCTCCCTGCCATGAGGGAACCAAGAGCCAGAAGAGATCCTCTTCCTGGAGGTTGTTTCTGTCAGGTGCTTCAGTGATGGGAAGAGAAAGTAATTCAGCAAGGATGGAGGGACTATTTCAAAAGAGCTAGAGGACAGGATTTGAGTGCTCCCGGAACAAAGGAATGAGCAGTGTGCGAGCAGTGTGCGAGGTGCACCATTTGCACCTCGACGTATGAGAGTCAGACCTTCCCCACGACTATGTACAAGGAAATGTCAGTTAAAACAAAAAGAACTGAAAAAGATGGCCTCAGACAGCATCTAATGATGTAGAAAATAAGCATGTTCTTGTTTCCGAACTAAGTCAATGAATTATAGAACAGTAATTTATCTAAGAACCCCAGGAGGCAAACGAACCATCTAAATGACAGAACAGATGTCGCTACTGTGGCCTGGGCCCTAGAAGCCCTACACAAGGAGGAAGGTATTTCTGGAAAGAGCTGGAGACAGGTGGACCTTGTCACTCTGGAAAGCTTTGTCATGGAAATGACAGGACATGGGACTTACTAAAGGAGACTGAGAAATTCGACAACGGAGCAGCGTTCACCGTGGGACCCAGAGCTGCGTTGTCAAGCATGTCTCAGAGAAAACAGTGATAGATCCTTTACTAATTGGTTGTAAGTAGGAATTCCTATGTGACTTAGTGATGGAGTGCTAAGTTTTGTACGTGTTTAAATTCTTTTTCTTTTTTTTTTGTGGTACTGGTGTTTGAACTCAGGGCTTCCAACTTGCGAGGCAGGTGCTCTACCACTTGAGCCATGGTTCCAACACTCATTGCTCTGCTTATTTTAGAGATGGGGAGGGTCTCACTTTTCACCCAGGCCAGCCTGGACCACTGATCCTATTTTATGCTTCCCGTCATTGCTGGGATGACAGGCACTGCCATCATGCCCGGCTCTTTTTCCATTGAGTTGAGGACTTGCAAACTTATTTATTTATTTTTTTTGGCTAGGGCTGGCCTGAAATCCCGATCCTCCCAATCTCAGCCTCTGGGTAGCTTGGGCTCACAGGGCACTGCACTCAGCGATTGGCTGAGATGGGGTCTTGTGAACTATTTGCATGGGCTGGCCTTGAACAGAGAGACTCCCGATCTCAGCCTCCCAAGTAGCTAGGATTACAGGTGTGAGCCACTGGTGCCTGGCGGCTTAATTCTTTTTAAACAACTGGATACTACAGTGTTCACTGTGCCTGTCCAGCTCATACAGGAGGATTTTCAAAAGCTTTCTTACTAACTTACTTTATTCTGAGGTTTTCTTTACAAAAATATTTTCTAATGTCTCTTCAACAAAAAAGATTTCTTGTGTAAAGTAATAACAACAGAAGGTTCACAATGCAGTAGGCTCCTAAACAGAGTATCAACAAATCAAATCTGATGATGCATAAAAAGGATAACAGCCAGGCGCTGGTGGCTTATGCCTGGTAATCCTTACTACTTGGGAGGCTGAGATCAGGAGGATCAAGGTTCAAGGCCAGCATGGGAAAATAGTGCATGAGACCCATCTCCAAAATAACCTCAGCACAGTGGACTGGAGGTGTAGCTCAAGCAGTACAGCATCTGCTTTGTAAGCCAGAAGTCTCTGAGTTCAAACCCCAGTCCCACCAAAAAAAAGATAACACACCATGGCTGGGTGGAGTTTATTTTAAGAATGAAAAGTAGCTTAGTGCTCAGAAATCATCATAATTCATCAGATTAACAATAAAAAAAGAGCTGGTGGCACAAGTCTGTAGTTAAAGCACCTGGGAGGTGGAGGCAGTGAGAACCTGTCAAAAAACAAAACAAAAACAACTTTTGTGAGCATCCTGACAGATGCAGAAAAAATGTCATAAAATTCCACCCCATTTGTGACCATTGTAAACAAAGCACACACCCCGTACACACTCCTGAGCAGCAGGGCGTGCCGCCCCACCCCACCCAGTGACAGGAAAAGGGGACAAAGGCAGAAGGGTAGGAAAGGAAGAAATATAGGCAATCCAAAATTATGTCAGAGTCTAAGAATCTCAGGTTTAATAAATGAATTTCACAGTCACGGTTATATAATCTGTAAAGGAAAAACAAATTCCCATAACCCAGAAACAAACAAAAACACAATTTTTAAATTACCACCTATGCGCTAGGGATGCAGCTCAGTGGTAAAACACACGCTTAGCAAAGCCCTGAACCCAATCCCCAGCACCAATAAATAAATTACAAACATTTCTGGTGACAGTGCCATCAATTCATGAAACAGCTAGGAACATCTGTCGAAACCCGAGAACAATAAAATGTTACATTACAGAGGAAAAACGCAAAAGGTTTAAATGAACAGAGGAATGGAGATATAGACCATTTTCATGGATTAGGAGCGTCAACACTATAAAGACACCAATTTTCCTTCCACAGAACTGTGATTCAACTAGATCCTAATCTAGTCTGCAGCGTGTGTGTGTGTGTGTGTGTGTGTGTGTGTGAAAATCTTTACACAGAAATGCAAATAGCCCAAAGTAGTCAAGGTGTTCTTGAAAAAGGAAAGAGATGTCACTTCGAAGATTAGATAATAAAAAGACTGTCGCTTTCATCCTGACTCTCTCTTTCTCTCCCTCTTGGAAAGCTCCCCCTTAGGGAAGTCAGGTCCATGTGGAGAGGGGTGGAGTGAGCTGGGAAGCAGAGCACCCCCAGCCAAACCTTCAGATGAAACCACAGCCCCGACCAGCAATAGCTGATTATCCCATCTGCCTGGGACTGAGGGGCTTCAAAGAGTGAGACCTAGGTAAACTGGGAAGGTGGGCTACTCTGTCAACAACTTGACTGCGTCCTCTGCATTCAGTCAGAGGTCACCCAATGCTTATTTTTGTAAGCAGCTGTTTTGTGGGAGCACAGTGAAAGCAAATGCCCTTAGCAGAAGAGGACATTAACCTCAGTAATACAAGGACTGGACTATCACTCAGTGGCACAGTGCATGCTTAGCAAGCACAAAGCTCTTGGTTCCATCCCCAGCACAGGGGAAAAAAATTAAAATAAAATAGTAAGCCAACAGTGGTTCACACCTATAATCCTAGCTACTCAGGAGGCAGAGATCAGGAGGATCACAGTTGGAGACCAGCCTGGGCAAATAATTTGTAAGACCTTATCTCAAATACCCAACACACACACACACACACAAAAAGACTGGCAGAGTAGCTCAAATGGTAGAGCGCCTGCCTAGCAAGATTGAGGCCCTAGGTTCAAACCCCAGTACTGCTCCCCCCAAAGTAATAATAAAATAAAATAGACAAAGTGCTCAACTTTTCCGCTTCTCAGAGAAATGAAAATTAAAACCACAACAGACTACCACTACACGCCCCATCAAAATGACTAAACCTTGGAAGTGAGAAATTTCCAGTGTACAGCAGTGTGGAGCAAGGGGCCTCTCCGTGCTACTCATGGGAATATAAAATGGCACCATCACTTTGGAAAACTCACAGTAACCGCCAAAGGTGAATATATCCGTGTACTCTGTCACAGCAATTCTACTCTTAAATATACACCAACAGAATGCACCCATCTATTCACCCAAGGCAGGTACAAGAAGGTGTATACCTGGACAAGACCTCGGGGTGCCAATCCCACTACCAACATGGAGGCCAAAACAGAGAAGAGGCAGAAAAAGAGAGAAGGGAGGATGAGAAAGGAAGAAGGAACCATGCCATCCCTCCACAATACGGCCAGCCCAGCCAGATAACAGAGGACCCATGACTGAGCAGTGACCAAGACAGTCAGGAGCTTAGGCTCTGGTCACTCAGAGAAGATGAGAAACTCCTGTACTCCCAGGTCCCTGGTCCTTGCTGCGAACTGTGATTTCCACTGTCAACAACCCAGGGAAATTTATTTTCAAGCAAACCTGCAGGCTGAATCTGGGTTATAAAAAAATGAAAACAGGTCTGGGGGTGTGGCTCGGTGGCAGAGCACTCACCTTGGATGCATAAGGCCCTGAGTTCAATTCCCGGCATAAATAGAGGGGACTTTGCTGACTTGAATACTCTGCCTCTTGGCTTCTCTTCCAGCTGGGCAGACCCCAAGTGCCCCCAAACCCAGGTACTTAGCTGCCCACCTTAGGTGTCCCAGGTTGCGTTTTCACCCTCCCCCTCAAACCCCTCCGTTCCCTCCACTCACCCCAGCTCTGGGCCTGGACTATACCAGTCCGTCGTAGAGGGACAGTGCCTGCACGATGGAGGGGTCCGCCTTGGAGCCTTCCTGGAACTCCTGCAGTGTCAGTTTCCCATCCGCATTCTATAAGCAGAGGCGGGAGGTGGGGACCTCTGGCCAAGCCCAGTCCAGGACAGGTCCCCAGAGAACTTCCCAAGTCAGTGGCGGCGGGGTGGGGGGGCGCGTGGTGAGGCAATGCTGACCTGGGTACTCGCTGGCCAGTGACCTTGGGCCCATGACCACCTCTCTGGGCCTGTTTCCTTATCTAGCATGTGGGAGAGGCATAATGGGGGGGAGGTGTAGAGGGTCAGCTCCATGCTGACCAAACTAGAAGCACCCATAACTCTGTAATTTTTATCACTGCTATTGAGTCCAATAAATGGTGGTCGATCCCAAAGAGCCAAGAGCTGCATACATTTCTCTGTGGTCACTTTTGAGAGGGCATTTAAGTGCCCATTGGACCCTGGGAGAACTTGGAGGGGGCTGGGTGGAGCTCATGCAAATCACAAAGGAACTTTAGCAAGTCTCTTGGGGGAGAGGATGGCTTGGGCCAGAATCCCATCCCCTGAAAGCCCTTGGGAACCATGCACTGCACTTCCTGTGCCCAGAGAGGGCAAGCAATGGCGTGGTGCTGACCAGCTCAGCAAGACCATCCCATGGTTGCTCCTTGTGGGCCTGGCACCTGTGAAGCAGTGACTCCTCACAGACACCCTAAAAGGGGGCTGTGTTCACCCTCTTTGGATTAGCAAGGGAACTGGCCCTGGATCACCTCCCCAGGGTCCAGCAGCTGGTAACTGGGGAGGTCAGAGTCACACCCTGGGAAGTCTGTGCTGTTTCCCAAAATAGGGGAGGCGTGGCTAGGGGTCACAGCCTTGGCAAGAACAGGGGAGTGGGTTGTGATTGCTTCACCACACTCTGTGGCTAACAGTCTGTGTGCTCCTCCTATGTGCTAATCTCCCTTTTTAAATGAAGAATGTGCTTGCCTCAAGCTCAAGGCCAGCACCTGTATGCAGTCAGAGTGCAGTCAGAAGCCCTCTGTCCCAGTATCTTGGATGCTCTTGTTGAAGACAGGCAGCTCTGGGTTTCCCCACCACTGGGATTTCAAATTTCCACTAAAAACAGTTACTTTAGCCAGGCATGGGGGTGCATGCCTGTAATCCCAGCTACCCAGGAATTAGAGGCAGGAGGATCTCAGGTTGAAGGCCAGCCCAGGGCAAAGTTGTCAAGACCCCATCTCAAACACAAAACACAAGGGTTGGAGGCATGGTGGAGTTAGAGAGCTTGCCTAGCAAGTGCCAGGCCCTGTATTCAATCCCCAATGCTGCAAAAAACAAAAGTTATTTTAGTTTAAAAAAAAAAAGTTGGGGACTAAAGGTATAGCTCAGTGACAGAGTGTGCTTTATATATATAAGGATCTGGGTTCAAATCCCTGCACCACCAAAAAAGAGAGAGAGAGAGAGAGAGAGAGAGGTTTCCTAGCTTGGAGTCTGTGGACAGAATCAGGCTGTGACCTCCATGGAGAAAGTCGGTCTTTCTTTTCATTCCCCTCTTGCTGAAATGCTGCTGTCCCTTTAATGTGAATCTGGGTGAAGGCCCTGCAGGCCCTGCAGAACTTTGTTACATATCACAGCCTCAAAATTATGGGGGACGTTAAAACCACCACTCTGGTTTTTTCGCAGTGCTGGAGCGGGAACCCAAGGCCTGGCACATTCTAGGCAAGGGCTCCTCCACGGAGCCCCGTCCCCGGTCAACACTGCAGCTTACCATCTAATGTGTCATTAATGAACCGCATATGATATGTCAGATTCTCTTTTTAAAAATGCTTTTGACAGCTGAATTCCAAAACAATTAAGTTCCCTTTTGATCCTATGCACTGAAAGCCATGGTTCTGACAAGTCCATAAATTTCTCCAGAAAGCCAAAGGGATGCAGGGTAAAAAATAAAGGTTCAGGCCTTGGCAGTTCAAGGAGACACGTTGGGTAAACTCACTGAGAAGGTGGATGCTTAATGGAAGTGGCTACCGGCTGACAGACATGACGCTAGGCTGGCCACCTGCCTGGGCCACTCCCCGATGTGGTCAGGGGAAAGCCAGGTTTTCAGGCCCGGGGTCTCTGCTCCCTGCCCCCACGGCACCCTTCTAGGCTGGGGAGCGGCCTCCCAGCCTCACCTTGTCCATCATGGCGAAGATCCGGTCCACCCTCTTCTCAGGCGTGTTCTCCTCCTCTGGGAGCTCCACAGTGTTCCCCTGCCAGGGACAACGTGGGGGCTGGGCCGGCACTTTGGCCTTTGGGCTCCCGGCAAAACACTCACCCCACAGACCTGGGCTGAGTCCAGATGAGGATCACCTCTGCCCCCCACTTCCTACCTCTGCCATTCTGTGGGGCTACTCCACCCACCCTGGCCCTGGCCTGCCCCCAAGGAGACATGTAGGGCCAGTCAGCCCTCACCTGGCCCTCACCTGGCCATTCTGTCCCAAGGCAGGAGAGAGACCCCAGAGGCTTCTTCCCTGCCCCCATCCCCCAGGACTCTCACCACCATCTGGTAAATGGCATCCACGATATCCAGCATCTCGTTCCTGGTGATGTAGCCGTCGTTGTCCAAGTCGTACAGCTTGAAGGCCCCTGAGAGCAATCGTCCAGGTGAGTCACCCTGGGCCAGGCAGCACAGGCCCCTCCCCTCCCCTCTCCGCACCTCAACCCCAAGTCCAGAATAAGACGCCCATCTCTCATCAGGCCAGCAAATACTGACATCAGGGATCAGGGTGCCATATGCATGCAGTACAGTCCACGCAGCCACCATTAAAAATAAATAAAATAAAGACAAATGCAGGAAGCTAGGTGGAAGGAACAGACCAGTGATTCCAGCACTGGAGGCAGGGGGCTAAGGACTGTGAGTTCAAGGCCAGCCTCAGCCATATGGTGAGACCCTGTCTCAAAAATAAATAATTTTTAAAAATTAAAAAAAAAAAAAACCAAGGGCTGGGGATATAGCTCGGTGGTAAAGCACTTGCCTAGCAAGCAACAGGCCATGGGTTCAATCCCCAGGACCTCAGGAAAAACAAAGAAAGGCAGACTCCGTTCTGCAAGGGCTGAAACCATGGCCAGAGGGGCCTGGTGTGATGGGGGTGGAGGATGAGGAACTGGGTCCCCAGAGAGGAGGAAGTTGGGAACCTACTGGGGGCTAAGACAGGTGGGTCCCTGTTTTCAGGGCTGTCAGTCTGACACAGGGACACGATTCCAAAAGTCCCTAACTCTTCAGCCCTACTTCCTCCATGCTGTCCTTGCCTCTTAGCCTGCTCCCCTCCCATAGTGGGAGAAAACTAGATAATAACACGAGAGAGGGACTTCTACATGAATAAAATTCTCTTTTATTTCTTAAAAAAAAAAGAGTAATGATGTTTTCTCATGGCTGATGGAAAAAAGTGTAAGCATTCAAGTGAGGAGAGAGTCAGCCTGGACAGGTCCACCTGCTCCCCGCGGATCCCAGGGTGCCCCCTAAGGTGTCCAGCTAAAGGCCATCCAGGGCAGGACAACCTCACCTCTGTCTCCTTCCAGGCCTCAAGTCACATGGGTTCCCCCCCAGAACCCCCTCCCCACCCCACCCTGGCCATTGCCTCCCCGCTCAGCTCCACTCTCCAAGGTCAGTCCCTCCCTTGCGGCTCAGCTTGGCCTCCTTCTCCCTGCCTCAGCTGCACCATTTGGGATTTCTGGAGTCAGATTGCTGAACCATACCGAAGAGCAGGCACCCATCTGTCTTAACACTTAGCACACCCCTCCCCAATCCCCCACCCCGGGCAAATCCCCAACTTCCCTTCTGGAACCAACACATGGTCACATTCAGTTAGCAGTTGCTGAATTGCAGAGTGAATAAATGATAGAGTGAAAGCCGGGCCAGTGGCTCACACCTGAAATCCTAGCTACTTGAGAGGCTGAGATTAGGAGGATCACAGTGCAAGGCCAGCCTGGGCAAATAGTTCGAGATACCCCCATCTCCAAGATAACCAGAGCAAAATGGACTGGAGGTGTGGCTCAAGTGGCAGAGCACCTGCTTAGCAAGTGCGAAGCCCTGAGTTCAAACCCAACTCCCACCAAAAAAAAAAAAAAAGGAGTGAAACTAGCAGTCAACTCCCTGCCCACCTAGCCTAAGTCAGCCCCATTCCTCCCACATGGCCACAGTGGGATGCACAGTGTCCTGGAAGGGCAGGGTGTCTGCCCACTCAGCCCTGCACAGACGGCCTGGCCCAGTTATTTGCCCATGCTGGACCTGCCACGCCAGCCTCCTGGAACACCCTGACCTCCCAGAACATGACACCAGCTGTGGTACTGCTACAGTGTCTGGCGGAGGGCTGCTTCCCTCTGGTCTGGGACTGCCAGATGACTGCCAGACAAGGTGGGAAGGGACTGGAGGACAGGACTTACACCGTAGCTTCTCGTCTAGAGTCCCCCGTGAGGTCACCGACAGCGCCTGGATGAACTCAGAGAACTCAATCCGCCCATCCTGAGGGAGACAGGGGACGGGCTAGGTCAGCACTGGGTCCCCGGGCAGGTCGGACCTTGGAGGGTGGTGATGGATGGTAGCAGGCTCAGGACACCCATGGCTGACAGACACCCAAGGGCAGAGGACAGGAGAGAAGGAATGAGGGGACAAGAGAAGAAGGGGGAGGGGAGGAGAAGGTAAAGGATGGAGGCTGGGGAGGGAAGGAGGGTTAGAAATGGGACAGTTGGGCAGGAGGAGGAGGAAGAGCAGGAGGAGGCGGACTCCATCTCTGGTGGGAGAAAGAGCTGCCCAGAAACACCTCCATGGAACCTCTGGCGTGGGCGTTGAGAGAGATGGGTTCCAAAGGCTGCTTGATTCTCTTTTGTTTTACAAAGGGGGAAGTGACGCCCAGGAAGGGCCAAGGAGTGGGACTCGTGACCTGGGGGCAGCTGGGAAGCTACCGGAGCGCCCTAGAGCAGGGACTGCATGAGTGACAGGGACTTCCTCAGCAGGGAAATGCCATCGGAAGGGACAAAGTCCAGAAGCCTGGCTACCCCAAAAGTGCACATGCCAGCTGTCAGCCAGCACCAGGAGGAGACACACTGAAACCTGGGTCAGTTTGAAAATTTAAGCTCAGGGTGGGGGGCTGCAAGGTGGCCCAACCAACGCACACACATGTGAGTAAATGTAAAACTGGTAAAATAAAAAAAAAAGACAAACTTAAGCTCGGGACACAGAAGGTCCCTACTAGAGACCCAATCCGCAGAGCTTCTGCATCCTCATCTGCAGAGTGGGGGGCTACAGAGCCCTGACCCTCAGGGTGTGGAAGGCCTGAGGTAATCGTGCCCGTCAAGGGCTCCCCACAGAGATGTCCAGTAATGCTACTGTGATCTCTAGTCCTGCCATTAGCCCTCCAGGCACTTGCCTCTTGTGCTAAGAAAATTCCGTACTCGCATGTACACATGTGTACCTGTGTACATCGTGCAGTACACACCTGTGTGTACACGTGTGTCTCTGTGTGCACTGTGTACACATGCAGGCCTGTGCTCTGTGTGCATATGCACGTGTGTGTGCATACTGTGTGCCTGTGAGCATCCGTGTTGATGTGTACACGTGTACGTGCATGTGTGTGCCTGTATCCGTGCACACATACATGCAACTGTGCACGTGTGTGTGAGCGCATGTTCCCACGTGTGTGTGCCTGTATCCATGCACACATGCATGCAACTGTGCACGTGTGTGTGAGCGCATGTTCCCACATGTGTGTGCCTGTATCTGTGCACACATACATGCAACTGTGCACGTGTGTGTGTGAGCGCATGTTCCCGCACAAGGAGGGGAAGTTGGTAGACTCAGAAACAGCCGACTGCCAGAGGGAGGAACTCGGGACTGGGGCAACCATCAGTCCCCGCTCACCTTGTTTTCGTCAAAGACGTTGAAAACAAACGTGGCAAATTTGGTGGGGTCTCCAAATGGGAAAAACTGCTTGTAGATCTTCTGGAAGCCTGCTGCATCCAGCTGCCCACTAGGGCAGTCCTTGATGAAGCCTTTGTACCTGGGGATGGCAGACCAGGTGGTGGGGTGACAGCAACATCAGGTGCCCACTCCCAGGAGCCCCTGCCCAGGCCCAGGAAATCTGTGAGTCCCTTAGAGATCACGCCTGCGATGTGACCATAGTGACAGCATCACACAGTGTCACACACTCAGAGCCATGGGAGTATGCCCACCTTGGCCTCTCGCTAGCTGTATGACTTTGGACAGTCATTCTATGACCCCAGCATCCACCCAGCCCTGATGTACCCAGGCCCACCAGGACCCCTGCACCCTGTCCTGGCAGGACTGTGGGATCTACTAACCCCTTCCAGCCCCTGGGGCTCCTATGAGCCCCAGCTCGGACACACCAGGGCAGAAGGGAGCAAAGCAGGATGAAGTTGGGGCTCTCACACCAGGCTGTGTGGCTTTGAGCCCCTTCCCACAGCAGGAGGAAAGACCGGTCTGCAGTCACCTCCTCCCACCTTTCTTCCCAGGGCCAGGAGACAGGGAGTTTGGGAACAAGGTCTGGCCCCTGAACCCAGTGTCCTAGGCCAGGATAGGTCCCTAGGGATGAGGAAGGGACATGCCTGGTGCTGGGACTTCATGATCCTTGTGGGGCCCATCCTGCTGTCACCAGACCTCTGTGGAAACTTGGAACGGGGTGTTCCCAGAGCCCTTCTAACTTCTATTAACAGTGTGTGTCACCTGAGGGATCCTAAAAGGTTATTTAAAAAAGAAAATAAAGACAAAGCTGGGCAAGGTGGTGTAAGCCTATAATCCCAGTGACTTGGAAAACAGATCAGGAATATGGAGGTTTGCCCAGGAAAAAGTTAGCAAAATCCCATCTCAACAACAAGTCAGTCATGGTGGTATATGGCTGTAATCTCAGCCATGCAGAAAGTGCAGGTAGGAGGATTACTGTCCAAGTATGTCCCAGGCAAAACTTGAGACCCTATTCAAAAAGCAAAAAGGGCTGGGAGTGTGGCTAAATTGGTAAAGCACCAGCCTACCAAGCTCAAGGCCCTGAATTCAAATCCCAGTAAAGCCAAAAGGCACCCAAAGGTGTCTCCTAGGCCCGTCCCTGCAGCTGGCTCACAAGAGGGAGGCTCCATGCAAAGTCCCAGCAGGAGCTGTCAGTGCCAGGAGCAGTTGGGAGACTGGCAGTGGGACACCAGCTGGTGGGGAGGCTGTCACCATGGCCCTGCCTCCATTGGCAAGGGTCCCAAGAAGCCCACCTCCAAAAGGCCAAGCCCACAAGTGTCACCAGCCTGTGGCTCGAGCTTCTCTTGATCATACCTCCACCCCACCTCCACACTGTACTCAGCAACTCTGAGCCCTGCTCTCCACTCCAACCTGCCTGGCCAGGCTGGCGCAAGGGACTGGCTAAGTCCTCTAGCCCAGAAAGCCCCCACCCTCGCTGTTAGATCATGCTCCTCCAGGACCCCATGCCTGAATCCTCGTCCCGCCTCAGCAAGCAGCCTGCCCAGTTGGTTTAGCAAGAAGTCCCCATGCCAAGTCTCCTCGTGGTAATTTTCCATCTACAAGACCCCACCTGCTTGTGGGCTACAAATCCCACTGCCCGTACTGTATTAGGAGCTGAGCCAAGCCTCTGCCCAGTTGTCTGAGTAGCTGTGCCTACTGCAATTGTCCCAAAATAATGAAGACTTCCTTACCATCTTAGCAAGGGCCCCAGTCACTCTATCTCTGCCACCTTTGATCCACTCATGTGCCAGGGCCCAGCCCAGTAGTAGCTTCCTCCAGGAAGGTAGCTGGGACCCCTGGTCTCAGCCCCCTCCTCCATCCTCAGCATGGCAGGGACCACATTCTGTCCTACCTGCTTCTAGGCTGTGACCACCACTGGAAAACAAGCTCTCTGACACAACCCCCATTTGGTGGCCTTGTTCATAATGGTGAGCCCAGAAAGTGAGTGAACACACAAACTCCCAGGCAGGGGAGGGGGAATAAGAGCCCAGGTTCAGTTTCTTCCTTCAGAGCCTGATGGGGCAGAGTTCTGTAGAGACTCTGGCTACAACCTAAGAGCTCTGTGGTGATGGTGAGAAAACCACTCTGCATCTGAGTGGGGAACTGCAGCTCAGAAACTGAGACTGGCCTAAGGTCACAGAGCAAGTTAGCAGCAGAAACAGGGCTCAGTCCTGGGGCTTCTGCCTCCCAGCCTCCCAGCCTCCTAGGCCCTCAGGGAAGCCAGGCTGCACCGCCCCCGCCCCTGTGTGAATGCAGGAGAAACGGCTGTACCCAAACTTTATGTAACCCATTGTTCATCTTCACAAGGTGGAGGAGGGTACCTGCCTCGGTTGGAGTGAAGAGAGGGGAGGTCTGAGTTTCTCAGGAACCCCAGATGCCCCTAAAAATTGTTTCACACCATGGTCTAAGCCTGAGGAGTAGCCCAGGCTCCCCTGGCTGGCTGGGGAAGACACCCCAAGACAGGAACACACAGAACTGCCTCACCATGAACAACACACCCAGGAAGACTGAGAGAGGTGATTCCACCTCCAGCCGGGGCCCAGGGTCAAGTTCCCACAGGCCTGGGCCTCCTCCTGCTCCCGCTGCTAGCAGCACGCAGCCGCCCACAGGCACGTGAGCCTGCATGCCTGGCCCCAACCTGCCCCACTGCAGGGGCGCCCTGCCTGAACCCCTTCCGCACAATGCCCCTCGGCTTCCCTGTGGGGCCGGACCAGGTAAGGGTCTCCCCATCCTGTATGCTTGACAGTTGTGTGTATCCTGCAATGCAGGACAGTCCTGCAGTGTCCTTTGCCTCTATCTGACACATGCCGGGGGGCCGCTCTCCCTGCGTGACTGCACCTGGGGGACTTGCCCCAGGGTCTGCCTACACTTGCCAGGTATGATTTTGTCACTTGATGGGAGCAAGCCCAGGAGGCGAAGACAGCAACACCCACTGCACAGAAGGGGAAACTGAGGCTGGTAAGGTTGCTCTGGCCCAGGGCTTTCACGTGGCTACTTCGTCTGCTTGCCCCACTCTTTCCATTCCTGCACCTGGCTGCCTTCTGATCACCTTTCTGCTCTCAGCTTTAGTGCCTCTCCTGGGAGAAGGCCCCTCTCTCCCCTGTCACCCAGACTGGGTCACACTCCGGTACACACTCTCAGCACCCTTTCCCCGGCTGGGCCTTGAGATCAGCTTATCTAACTTGTGCAGTACAGGCCCACTAAGGCCATTGAAGCAGGGACGTTCCAGTTCCCCAATCTGCAAGCTTCACTGGCTCTTGGTTAATGCTGAACAGGGTTTCACAGATAGCAAAGGTGATGACCAGAGCTGGAACCCAGACTCAAGAAATGGAGCCAGCAATAGGAGAAGGGGACCAGGAACTAGAGAAAAGGTTAGATCAAAAAGAAAAAGAAAAAGAAAAGGAAAAAAGAAATGGAGCCAGAACAGGGAGTCCCCTCTGTCCTACTCATCTCTGCAGAAGGCAGGGAGAGGGAGTGCGGGAAGGGGACCCAAAGCCCCCAAGGGCCTGTTTCCTAGCACTTTCCACTGGATTCTGTACCCCAGGTGGAAGGGACAGGAGTCCCTGTGCCACCGCTGGCTCAAGTTAGGCTGGGGAGGGAGACTTGGCACAAGGGGCAGCCTGTAGTCATAAGCTCACTGCAAACTGGGACCTTGGGTGACAAGCATGGACAGGATCTACCAGAGAACGGTAACCTTGAGGTCCACCACACGGGCCCCCAGTTCAGACAAGTGCTCTGTGCACACAGGGAGGGAAAAAGGGTCTCTTTATTGTCACCATCACCATTATGACATTTGATCTCTAAGGTCCTAGGGCTCGGTCACAGAACCTCATCCTCTGTCTGGGCCCCGTCTCCCTCCTTGTCAACATAATACAGCAGCTGCTCTCTGACTGGCCCAGGGAGTTTCTCTACCCCCTGGCCTCCTGGTCCATGGGCAGAGTGCCCTTTTAGGCACCTCCTCCCCAACCTCAACAAGGGTCTGAACTGCTGGGGACCCGAGACCCAAAGGAGCCCAGCCTCAGAGACAGGCCGAGTCCCTGAAAAGCTGTGCATCGAAGGCCAGCTGCATGAAGCCAGGCCTTGGATGTGGCTGACAACCAGCAACTCCAGGCAGGCCTAGGATGTGAAAAGAAAATCCCAGACCCAGCAACTGCAGTCTTACACTTCTTATGGGAGGAGAAAAGAAATCTGTCACCTCATAACAATCCTAAAGGCAGCCTGCCATTTGCAAGTCACGCCGGATGCGCACACGCGTGTGCTGTGCCTCCTCCCACCTTACCTCCTCTCCACACTGCCCCCCAGCAGCACCAGTCTGGGTAACTACCTGTGTCCCCCAGAGACTCCATGCCCATTTCCCTGATACCCCAGTGACCATCCCTGGCCAGGTACATAGCAGGTGCTCAGTAAAGACAGAATGGATGGATGGATGAACGCCTGCCATGACACAGGGGCCAGTACCAGTGTGGCCTCTTGTTCCCTGAGGGTGCTGCTGTGCCCACACTGCCTAGGGCTCAGTCACAGAACCTCATCCTCTGTCTGGGCCCCGTCTCCCTCCTTGCCAACATAATACAGCAGCTGCTCTCTGGGCACAGAAGGCGGGAATAACTCGCTAGATGGATATAAAACAACACAGGTCCACAGGCTGCCATCAGCCATTGCAGATGGGAGGGGCGCCGTGGCCTCGGCAAGCTGCTCTCCCATCATCTTTTCTTGTCCTGCCCCCAGATCTCCCAGAAGGAGGCCCAACCCCATCCACCAGGATGACCCTCCTCCTCTCCCCAGCCACCCTGCAGCTCCCCCAGTTTCCCAGAGCAAGGAGCCAGCAGGCCTGAGCCTCCAAACCTGGAGTCATGGAGTTGGAAACCCCGATCTCACACACGCACACACGGAGCTGTGTGACCTGAGCATATGGCTCCACCTCTCCTCATCTGTAAGACGGGGTCACTCTTAGGACTCATGGCTTGGAGGTGTTCTAGTTTCAGCCCAGCACCTGCCCATAGGGAACCTGGGGACAAGAAGGGGAGCCGCCTCCTCACCACAGCTGCGTAGGATGGTCCAGCTGGCCCTGCTGCGGCACCTATGGACGCCCTCCTGCTTCCACCCACTGTTTTTGTTACAACACTGCTGGACTATTTGGTTATTATAAAAATAATTTTAAAAAAGAACTGGAACAGTAGAAGATGCAAGAGAAAAAAGTACCCCACATGCACAACCTATCACCCATCCTCTCCACCCCCAGCTCCTGGCCTGTTCCCTTCCCGTCTCTCTGCTGCCTGCATCTTTCCTTCACCAAGTGTACCCCGTGTCCCCCTCAGGATGACATCCCCGTGCTCTCTAAGGGACCTGCTGCCAGCCTGCTGTGGCTCTGACCTCCCATGAGGATGACATGAGCTCTGGTGAGTGGGAAGTGAGCAAGCCAAGAGTAAGGGTCTGGGGCACAGTCCTGACTGCTACCCAATGCTGGCTCCACCCCTTCTCTCTTTGCCCAGTACAGACAGTGGCACCAGCAGCCAGGAGGCACCAAAACAGGAGGAGCCAAGGGGCTGACACTGTGGGGCCTGCCTGGGGCTGGTCACTCACTGCAGGGAAGGGAGAGATCACAGCGTCACACCAGAGCCCTGAATAGCAGCTGACAAAAGTCAGCACGAAACAGGTAGAGAGATGTGACCCCCTCTTGAGATGCGACCAATGCGCTGGACCAAGATCTGGGGCCGAGGGAACAGCAGGAACAGAGGTGCTGAGGCAGGAAAGAGCTTGGCCTGAGTGAGGGGCAGCAGGGAGGCTAGTGCCAGAGGAGCGGGTGAGGTCAGAGACCTCGGAAGTCCTCAGGAGCTTCAAGTGGGAGAGCAGCCCACCCTGCTCCATTCCTAAAAGCTTCCCCGGATGCTGTACAGGGAGCGGGGCACAGAGGGAGCACACGTGCAGGAGCCTGGGAGGCAGCCACCGCACCGCTGCCGCTGCCAACCACGCAGCTCAGGCCGTGGGGAAGTCATTTCACATCCAAGACCTAATGTTGGGGCCAGAAGAGCTGAATGTGAGGTGATGAGGGAGAGGGCGGAGGAGGAGCCCTCTGTGTGTGTGTGTGTGTGTGTAAGAGAGAGAGAAAGAGAGAGAGGGAGGGAAGGAAGGAGATAGAGTAAATGGCAGTTCTCAGGAGGAAGAGAACAGCCAAGTTCACCTGCTGGCTCCTCCCATCTCCCTCCTCCCACCCCCAGAAGCCTTGGCCCTAAATTGCCCTGGTAGGCAGGGCTCGAGACCTCAAATTTCTCTAAAGGAGAGGCCAGCATCAGGGGATCCCCCAGCTCACAGGTGCCCTGAGATGTGTCCAGAATAGCAAGGGCAGTGAAAGGGTTCTCTGAAAACGGCCATGGCATTCAGGATCCCAGTGCTCAGCCCATTCCCTCCTATAACAAGGATAGAGGGACAGTGGGCCCCTGGATCTAGCCTGTACCCCAGCAGACCTGTGTCGCAGTCCCAGGTTAGTGAATGAGGTTTAGGCAAATGAGGGATAATAAATTGCTTCATTCTGTGTGGCAACAATTCCACAACAGAGCACCATACTCTATGATCCATTACTGATGTCTGCCATGGGCACAGGAGGAGAATGGCGGCATTGAGTGCCACTACTCACCATCCGAGGGACTGTGGCCTTTCTAGAATACCACAGCAGGATAGGGAGTGGGCTGACCTGGAGACCAAGAGAAAGGTATTGGTTCAGCTATCTTCTATCTCCTCCAAGGTACCACCAAAGGATAGTCATTCAAGGACTGTGCAACTTTCTGGCAAAAAGGATCACTTCTTTTCTTTATAAGCAATTCAAGGAAAACACCAGCACAGCAAAGAGAGGGTGTCATACAGCCTGTCATGGAAGCCTCTGTGGCCTCACCACTGTTCTTCAGTCATGCCAAGCCTGTCCCCACCTCCCAGCCCGGGCCCTTGCCTCCTGGCTGGGTCCTTCCTGTTTAGGTTGTGGCTTAGATGTCAGCATCCCACAGAAGCCCCTGGACCACCCTTGTTTGAAGCAAGTCCCCACCACATTGAGGTCACATTTTCATTTTCTCCACAGCACTTTGTTTGGCAATGACATCATTTTGTGTCACATGTACATCCACAGTGTCCCAGTGTCTAGGACAGTACATGGCAGAAAGTGCTGCATTGATGATTGACAAAGGAATGAAAGTCTTCTCACCTGTCTGGGCCTCAGCTTCCCCAGCAACACAGTAAGGAGGGGACTCTCAATGTCAGGGCCATACTGATGAGGAAATGGGACTGTGACTATCACAGTTATGATCACCCTTACCAGAACAGCAGCAGAGACCATGTTCACTCGGCTCTGCTCCCTCACTTTCCAGATGGGGAAACTGAGTCCACAAAAAGTCCAGTCATCTGTGCCAGGTCACCCAGGCAGGACATGGGCAACCAGATTCCAGTCAAGCTCAGAGCATCGTTCCTGGCCACACCTGTCTTTCTGGAGGTGGGCAGGAGGATGCAGGGGAGCTCAGGGAGGTCCCTCGTCCTCACCTACAAGATGCCAGGGTGAGACCATATCCTCTGGGGCGCTGTGAGGTGGTGACACTCAAGGCTGCATCTGAGAGCCCTCCTGGCACACAGCAGCACTGGGGGGGAAAGCCTGCATCTCTCAGGGACAAACTTTATTCTCTCCCTGCCTCTTCCCAGATCACAACCCCACAGACCCCAAGGGAGACTGGCCATGTTACGGCTGGGACGACAGGTGGGACCGGAGATCGCACACTCTCTGTGATCACAGCCTCCCCCTCCCAGCCAGCTGCAGAGAGGCAGGGTCTGCTCCAGGCTCCAGGAAACCTGTCCACTGCCCCTCACTCCTCACTCACACTGTCACCAAGCTCAGAGCCCCAGTCTGGAGTCTCACTGCCTGCCTGTCACCTAGTCCTGCCACCTCCCAGCCATGGCCCTCCTCTGAGCCTCACCCTCCTCATCTGCCATGGGAAGGGACAGGCAACACCAAATCAGGACTATTCCAGGAGCCTGTCTCTGAAGCTTTGAGGGCCACACTCATTGAATGCTGAGCACTCACTGTGGCCAAGCCCTGGGGACAGACATACAGAGAGACAAGGTACAGCTGACCAGCCTTCCAGCCAAGGAAGGCAGAGGGACAGAAACATTTAACTGCTGCCTGGTGCGTCATGGCTGTCACAGGGAAGTGTGACAGAGGAGGTCAGAGGAGCCCCTAACCCAGCTGGACTGGGAGCAAAGGTCAGGAAGCCCCAGAGATGAGGGTGAGTTCTGAGAACTTAGGGTTTGTGCTGGCCAGAGAGCAGGGCTCAAAGGGCAGAGGGAGGTGGCAGTGAGACTGGAGGGCTGAGCAGCAGACCTGACCCAGTGGGACTTCACACCCACATAACCACACAGGAGTGAGGACTTCACCCTAGGTCCAGGGAAGGGCTTGGCAGAAGCCTGGCTTCTACAAATTTTTGCTCCCTGGCTGCCAGGGGACATGAAAGAGAATCCATACAGGGCAGGACCCTAGGAGAGGTGCACAGAGGGTGGGTATCGCAGGATAGGGGAGCTGCAGGGTTGGGGACTGGCAGCAGGGGTGTTTCTGGAAAGTGGGAAGCAGAAAATGAGGACAGAGGCAGTTCAAGCTGTGCTCACCCTAGGGATTGGGGAATGGTTGCTCCCTAACTCCACTCCCTCACTACGGTTCAAACAGCTCACTGCCCAGGGTCCCCAGTGAGGGCCAGCAGAGCCAAGCAGGCCAGCCACGTTCTGCCTGTTCTGCAGCTTATCCATTATGTATCACGGAGGTGTGGGAAGCAGCCCTATGGGGAGCTGAACCCAGCCCCTGAAACCTGAAGGTCTCCAAGTTTACCTCCTTACTCCCCTACTCAGACTTGCCTGACAGTGGGAGCTCCCCTATGTGTTCCACGTTGCACAGTGACAGATAAGGTGCCACTCTCTACCCAAGGCCCAGGGTAGACATCACTAATTCATTACAGGCTTCAATAATCCTTATGCCTATACTTTCCATTTGCTTCAGAATCCTTCTTAACACACACTCCTGGCAGCCTCTACAGATTGCTCAGAGTTGGTATCCCAGTGGAAACCTATGTGTCACCCTGGATCTGGTATAGTTATCATTTTTATTTATTTATTTTTATTATCATTGTGCTGGGGGTACATTGTGACATTTACAAAAGTTCTTATAATACTTCATATTGAATTCACCCCTCCATCATTCTCCTAGCCATCATTTTTCAGAAGGGGTGACGGAGACCCAGAGAGAGGAAGAGACTTCTCAAGGCCACAGAGAGATTTAGAGACAAACCCAGGCCTGAGGCCAGTCTGCTGACTTCTCATCCTAGCCCATCCTCTTGGTGAGCCACTCCTGGAATTAGGACCGGCTGAGCAAGGAGTCCCCCCACCTCTCCAACTGACCGACACTGCACTAGCCCCCAGGAGGGTGGAGGATGAACCGCAGTGTGGAAGCCCACCTGTGAGTTCCCTGGGCTGCTGCCCTATTGCCCCACATCCACCCCCGGGAGCAGCATGGGGACAGCTCACCACACTCACCACTGCTGCACCTCCTTCTCGGTGACTGCAAGAGAAAAGAAGAGTAGCATTTATTGGGGGGTCCCAAGGCATCAGGCACTAGCTAGGGTCCCCCTCCCCTCCTCCCACTGTCAGGGCACAACCTGCTTTGAACAAGAAAATGCAGCCCTGGTAAACAGTTGCAATCAGGGACTCCATGCCCAGCCACCCTGGCAGGGGACAACATGGCCCCATCTCCCTCCATGCCCACTGTGCTGCTGCTGCTGCAGACACCCCAGAAACATCCAACAATTAAGCACATTCCTTCTCAGCTCCCTGGGGACAAGAGGGTCACAGAGAGGGCCTGGCAAAGGCTGAGTCCCTCCCAGCTCAGTGACACCCCAGCCCTCAAGCCCTTTGGGGAGATAGTCCAGGCTCTTCTACTGGCAAGACGTGGTCAGAGCTGCACATTAAGAATTGAAAGGAGCCATGCAAATGGTGGACTGGAGCAAAAGCCCACAGTCATGGCTCTTTACTGAACCATGAAACAAACAAAATGTCTTTTCTGAAAAGTACCGCATGGGTTCAAGTTGAAACCAAGACAAGGTTCTCTCTGAAGTCGCTGAATAACAGCATCAAACCACCTCCAAGGCCACACTTGCCCTGCCTGTGTGACTGCAGGAGAGCTCCTTGCATTCTGTGCCTTGGTTTCCCCATCTGTGAAGCAGGCATAATAGCTATCGTATCTGCCCCACAGAGCCATCCAGGGAACTCAGTCCTAACAGGGCACAAGCTCCTGGATCCCCCATATGGGGTGAGACACGGGGACAAGCACAACATAGGCTCATGGTATAACGAAGGAACGAGCAGACAGAAAAGTGGTGTCAGGTGGAGGTCAGGTGAGAAATGATCTGGGATGCTGCAGGGTCGGAGGGGGAGAACTCTGAATTTTGTGACTGCTCAGAATCAGGGAGGTCACTTTACAAAACCCCCCAAAGCAAGCTTGTAGCAGCTGCCAAACACCAAGCACTGCCATGATCCCAGGTCGGTGCCCAGGGTGGCCTCCATGCTGTGGCTTGGTTGCCCCTCAGCAGTCCCCAGAGGGACACTGTTACTCTGCCCTGGCTCCAGGTGGGTAAACCAAGGCCCAAGAGGCCAGGAAGCAGCAGGAGGAGTGGGAGATCACTGGTCTAGGGCTCAAAATCCCCAGGCAGACCCCTGAGTGAGTGGAGGCCTCCTCCCCTCTCTTCATCAGTACTCCTTCCTACCAGCCCAAAGCAGAAACTGGGAGAGAGACCTTCCCCCAGAAAGCTCCTGGTAAAGAGAAAGAGGCATGATGGGAGATAAGTTTCCTGGAAGGCCAGACCTGGCATAAAAGAATGCAGTTTTCCAAGAGAAGCTTCTGGCAAAGGGTATAGTGTGAGGAGGTAAGGCACTGGGGTGGACAGGGAAAGTGTCCCTGGTCTAACCCAGGCTGGGCTGTCCTGGACCTGCCTCCGGCACCATCTGTAAAGGTCAACTGAGGCTGAGGAGCTGATGTGGAAAGTGGGAACCAGAAACACAGACAGCCCATCAGAGCACAGTGGGGGCTTCCAACTGCAGGTTCTGGGGCCAGATATCATCTGGGTTCACACCCAGTCCCAGAGCTCACTGGCTGTGTGTGCTTAGAAAAACGGTTTCTCCTCTCTGAGCCTCAGTTTCCTCATGTGTGAAATGGGCTTCTCATCACCTTTGCCGGAATACAATGGGTAGGTAGAACCCTGTCATCCCAATGAAGAAACTGAGGCTCAGATGGTCTGCTTATGTGCCATGTCTAAGACCCCTGGAGGTCACTCTGCAAGAGATGACAGGCCCAGGACTGGGCCTCCTGAGGCCAGGAGGGACACCTGACGAGTGCCCCTCCCACCCACTTCAAGGGAATGAATGAGCTGCATGACCTTGTGTGACCTTGGCAAGAGGTGAAAGGGCCTCAATGGCAGGGCCACTGAAGAACTCAGGCTGGTCTCATGGGACCAGAAAGGTGCTCTAAGGGAGCCTCCAGCTCAGGCTTTCTCCTGGGTACTGCTCTCTCACCCCCACCCCGAGTCTGTCTCCTCAGCCTTCCTTAGCACCTCTCTATTCTCCCTCCCTTCGTGGCACCACCAGCAGCCAGGGGAGGAGGAGAAGGAGGAGGACATGGTTGGCTGCCCTCATTTAGAACTGTCCCAATGCAGAACACTGGGCGAGAATCAGGCAGTCAAGGCCCCAGGGTTGTGAGCTGGGGCGCAGGGGTAAAGCCCTACCCAGCTTTAAGCAGTGAATTAACCTTTAGGGACCAGCCATCAGGTATCCCCAGTGCCGTGCCAGGGCAAGCAATCCTTTCTTCACTCCCTGAAGCCTCAGAGGAGCTTGAAGGTGACAGGCAGGGTGACTCTCTAGAAGCCTGGCCACCTGCCCTGGTTCTTCTGCCAGCCAGGGAGCATGGGCACTGGGCAGGCAGACCTTTGTCTAACTCTGCTTATTAGCCAGAACTGTGTGCTGCAAGGAGTGAGGAAACTGAACCCAAGGGATGCAGCCTAAGAAACTTGTCCAAGGTCAATGCCAAAAGGGGACACCTCAGTCTCAGCCATTCCTACATGACCTTCTTGAGTCCTCCATGTCCACCAGTCCAAACCTTCACTGAGGGCTTTTCATTACATTGCCTCACTTTGGTTTTACTCACTTGCCATACAGCTTCAATAGGAGCAAAAATATGCATAGAACCACAAGTTGTGCTAGTTGTTTATTTTCTAATACACAATAAAAAGATAACTCTTAAAATGAAAAGTGATTGTCCTTAATCAAACCTGACCTCTCACTTCCCCAATCTTGAGAAAGAGAGGGTCATTCAGGTATAGGAGGCTTTTGGACCACCAAACAAGCAATATCAGAAAAGAAATACCTCTAGACATATTAAAATTAAAACACTAAATATACAGAACAAAGAAAGAATATTGAAAACTATAAGAGAGAAGTGACAAGTCACATATAAAGGCAAACCCATCAGAATAACAGCAGATTTCTCAATAGAAACTCTTAACAGCAAGGAGGGCACAGAAAGATATGGTCCAAACCCTAAAAGAAAACAACTGCCACCCTAGATTACTGTAGCTAGCAGTTATCCTTCACGATTGAAGGAGAAATAAAAACCTTCTAAGATAAACAAAACTAAAGGGCCTGGCGCCTATGGCTCACACCTGTAATCCTAGCTACTTGGGACACTGAAATTGGGAGGATCGCGGTTTGAAGCCAGCCCAGGAAAATAGTTCCAAAGATACCATCCCCAAAAACAACCAGAGCAAAATGAACTGGAGGTGTGGCTCAAGTGGTAGTGCGTCTGCTTTGCAAGTGTGAAGCCCTGAGTTCCGACCCCAGTTCCAAAAAAAAAAATAAATTAAGGAATTTATGACCACCAAACCAGCACTGCAGAAGATACTTAAAGGAATCCTACACACAGAGGGGAACACAAATGCAGGCAGGAAGACACAGGAAAGAATAAACACCACTAGACAACTAGATTAGCCAGCAAAGATTAGAAAAAGTAGACATCGCAAACCTGGGCTCCCCAGTAATGGAACAACCAGGCCCCTACCTAGACGCAGTGGAAGGACAAGTTATTCACGAAACTCCTGCCAAAACTCTTTGCTGAGTCTCATCATGAGGACATAATCAGACAGACCTAAATGTAGGACAATTGGCCTGGACACTTCAGTTAAGTCAGTGCCATGAAAGGTCAAACAATGATGGTAGAGATGGCACAGGAATATTCTGGAAAAAGAGACAGAAAAGACGAGGCAACCAAATGTAACTCACGGTGTCCGGCTTGGGCCTGGGGTCAGGAGGGAAAAAGTGACCCAGAGCCTGGGAAGCCAGATGGGACTGTGATCAGGCACTGTGGAGGGCTGTAGTCTAGTGGGGGCAACAGGAGAAGAACATCCTTCTCCTCCGAGCTGTGCCCCAAAGCATGCAGGGGTGAGGTTAGGATGCCTGCAGCTTCCTGTTGGATCAGAGTGCACTCTCATACTTATTCAGAGTGAGGAAGCAACATGGCGCCGCTGGTGGGTCTGGAGGACAGCTGGTGTTCACTGTCCTGTTCAATGTTTCACGTGCAGGAAATGCTTGTCCTCTTTACTCCACAACCTGTGTGTCTCCCACACAATGCCAGGTGGCCTGGGGATGGCAGGGGACTGACAAAGTCCCGCCTCTCACAGCTGCAACCACCACAGATACCAGGAGGAAGGCAAGGAGGCAATTTTGGGATCAAGCTTCCCTCTGCCTCTGCCCTGCTCAGGTACAGCTCACCTTGTACTGCATCATGGCTCAAGTTGTAGAACTGCCTGCTTAGCAAGCACAAGGCCCTGAATTCAAACCCCAGTACCACCAAAAAAAAGCCATCTCCCCAGGCTGTGGCTCCCAGCTCCATCCCATCCCCACTCCCAAAGCCTCCAAGAGTGAAATTAACAGGAACACCACCTCACCTCCCTCTTTTCTCCACCATTGGTGGCTCAAGGCTTAGGGCTCTGAGCTCAGAGCAGGGCAGGTGTGCCAATCAACCCCGTACAGCCAGCCCCAGGGGTGCTCTGCCTACACCCAACCCAGTGACCCCACTTGGGTGCCTCCAACTGTCCTGTTCTCTCAGCCCAGAGCCCAACTCCTCACCTCTGTCACTGGATGACCCCTCCCCTCTTTCCACACCACTTGAGAGGTCCTTTTCCCAGTCTGCACCTGACCCTGCCATGGACCATCCCCAAGTCCCTTCAGAGAGAGTCAATATCCCATACCATCCCAAACAGAGCGGCGGGTGGGGGACTGACCAAGGCAGGACAGGATAGAGTGAAATGACCCACAGAGAGGCCCTGGGGTCAGCCCGGCCAGCACCACAGGCTAGGACTCACTGCCCTTTCTGACATAGTGGCCATGGACAAATGCCCCTCACACTGTCCTCTGTGAAACAGGACCATAGCCTCCATCTCACAAGTGTCTTCCAGGAATGGGATGGCAGAAGTCCTTTCTATGTCTTCCCAGTTGGACACTGAGACTCACAGGCCAAGGCACTTCTGGCTCCATCCTCAGAGCCAGCCTGAGGCCCTATACTCAGGAAGCAGAAGGAACCTGTGGAACCTGTGGGTCCCCTCACAGTCAGCTCCTGGGTGGGAGCAAAAACATCCTCAACTTCGTTTCTCACATTACCTTCCCAGGTGTACCTGGCTTTGGCTGACCTACCTTTCTCCAGCACACTGCTGCCCCAGGCCTGCAGGCCCAGCATAGCCAAGTTAGGAGCTGGGCACTCAAGGGACAGTCACATGCTTTACAGGGCCACAATAAAGGGAGCCTTTGGGTCCTGATCCTGCTAAGGCCATTTGCAGGCTGACTTACTCCAAACAAGTCACTTAACCTCTCTGAACCTCAGCGTCCCCTTCTCTAGGACAGGAGCTCTGCTCTTCCCCAGCAGAGCTGTGGGAAGGGGTTATAGAAATGGACAGAGACTTCTGCAGCTCAGAGTAAGCACATAACCATGAGGAGAAAGTGGAGCTGGACATCCACCTTGCCCCCTACTACTAATCTTCTTGGGAACCAGAGCTGCCCTTGCCTACCACCAGCCCTTGCCCTGGCAACCTGCTGACATCCTCCCATCCCTGCATCCAGAGGAGCTGCCCGCTGTGCCCAGGGCCTCCTCCCACCCAGAGGCTCCCTTGCTCCTCCTCCCTCCACGCAGCTCTTGTGTGCCAGGAATGAACACAAGAGCCGGTCCCAGGAGCCCAGGATGAATGCTCAGTCTGATTTTCATTTCCCTAAAGCAAAATACCTCTCTCCTGATTGAAGCGCAGCTCAAACACAGTGGGAACAGAAAGCCAGGGCTGGCGGCCCCCACAGAGGCTCCAGCTGCAGCTGGGGATCACAGACAGACAGCAGAGCTCCTGGGACCAAGCTAAGGCTCCTTTCAGTCTCCAGACACAACGGCCACCCTGAGTGTCTTCCCTGCCCCACCTATCCTCTCCCCACTGCAGCCAAAAGGAAACCCCTGTAGCAAGGGGTCCTGTGGGAGCGGGGGGAGGAGGGTGGGGACACAGGGGCCTTTAGGGCCTGTTCACTACAATCCCATCCTGATGCCTTTGGTCATGGATCCTCCTCCCTCAGAAGGGCAGCTGGCCTCAGACAGACTTCCTGGCCTCTCCTGGTCTCAACCCCCAATGCTGGGCCACTACACTGACCTCTTCTTAGCCCCCACCTCCACCCCACTCTCCTGTCTACTTCCCACTCACAGCAGTCAGCATCTCTAATGTGGTCAGCCGGGTTCCTCTTCCACCCTGGACTAAAGTTCAAAGGTTAGCATAGAAGCATCCCTTCAGCCTCCTTCCACCCTCCCCACCCTCTGTTCTGCTGCAGGGCCAGAAGACCCCTTTTCCTGCCATCCCCTCAGAATGGAAGGCTCCTCCTCTATGCTCCTCTAGGTGCCAAAGGCAAAGCTTCACCAGAAGAGGACACATGCTGGGGAACCAGATGTGCCCTGCTGACCCCAGCCAGGTCTGTGTCCCTCTGCCCTAGAGCCAGCTTCCCCACCCCACCAAGGCAGGAAATTCCCTTGTGGAGATGGTGCAGTGGTCTCCCATAGGACCCGGATTCTAGGGGTCTGCCACTCATCCCGTCTGGGCCTCATTTCCCTGTTTGTGAGTGGAAAGTGATCCCTGCTGCTCACAGCAAATGTGAATTGACCAGAACGCCCCACCTGGAGGCAGAACAGGCAGGAGTGTCTGCCACACCTCCTTTGCGAGGAAATGTACTGGTGTCCTGGCAGGGCTGGGGGTCCTGGCAGGCCACCTCTGCTTCTGACCCAATGCCTGACCTTGGCCTTGCCACTCCCCTCCCTGTCCCACAAAGGCTCTGGGTGGAGGGGACTGAGGCCAAAGCAGAGTTTCACACCAACGGGGATAGATCCCCCACAGGAGTGGCAGTGTGAGGATAGGAATGTGGACAGAGCTCTGGACCAGAGAACCTAGGCTGGGTCCCGAGCCACTAAGCCACCAGGTTATGTTGGACAGGGCAGCAGCATCTTCTGTAAACTGGAGCACAGGGAGTGTTGTCCCCAAGTGCAGAGAGAACATGACAGCACAGGAAGAAGAGCCTGGCATGAAGCAGTTGGTACACTGTCCTTGTTCTGATTATTATTTCATGCCTCTGCCAGGGTGAGAGGAGAGGCAGACCTCACTCCACCCTGCCCCATAAATGCCCAGATCAAGGCTGGCCCTTCCCAAAACGCCGGGCACCCTTGCCCAGCCAGGTCCAGGAGGAGCCCTGGCCCTGGCCAGGAACCCGTTCCTGGGCCCCCTCAAACCCTTGGTCCCCTCCCAGGCTCCAAGCCTCCCTTCCCCCTGCAGGGGTGGCAGTGGCCCAGCCTCCTTGGCATGTGCTGTTTCCACCCACGTTCTGCGTCAGCCAGGCAGCCCAGCGCTAGGCACATGGCAGTCAACAGGAAAGACAGGCGGGCCCTGCCTACCCCCTCCCACGGCACCCTCTGTGTGGCTGGCTGGCCGTCTGCTAGGGACAGAGGCCATCCCCCTGCCACCTCCAGGGGAGCTACTGTGGCTGCTGTGCCATATGGGTCTGCCCTGTGCCAGGCCCTTTACCCCAAGACTACATGAGGGCCTCACACATTCAGGGCTCACAGGCTATGACTGTGCTCATGCCATGATAAGGCACTCAAGCTCAGGAGCCCCACACCCAAGCCACCCAGCTGACCAAGCTTCGGCGGCCCTGGCCTCCCTCAGGTTCCCAGTGGACAAGAGCCTCCTCTTTCACAGTCCCAGCAGTCTGGGACTACACAGAGTAGAGGGGATCTGCCAGTCCCTGAAGTGACTTCTGGAATAGGGAGTAGCTGGTGCTACCTGACCGGGGGCAGCCTCGGGCCTGGGCTGAGCCAGCTTTGTTCCTGGCTCCCACGACCTCTCTTTATCACCCTGACCTCATGCCTGGCAAACTGCTCACAGCCCCCAGGAACTGCAGTGTCTCCCACCAAGGACTTTGGCACAGACCGGGCACCTGCCACCTGGGTGCTGCAGGACTCCAGTCAATGCATTCTCCCCTCCCAGCCATGCTCTCCTTCACTGTCACAGGACCAATGGGACAATGCAAGTGGCAAACAGCCCAGCCGTGGTGAACACTGGACACGAGGCTGCTGCTGTTGTTATGCTGGTGACAAGTGACCATGTCAGAATAAAATGCCAGGGCGCTTGCTGCCTTCTGGGTGGAAGATGCAGCTGGCAGGGTCGGGCCTGGGGTTAGCGGATACTAAGATGGGAAGCTTCCAGCTGTGGTGGGGAGAAGAGCCAGGCCCTCAAGGGAGTGCAGGTGTGAGCTGCTCAGAGCCACTCAAATTCCAAATCCAGTCCTGTTTCTCTTGGGGCATCTTGGATCCTCCTGAGCCCCAGAAGGATGCACTAGCTAAGTTATCCTAATGTGCCAGGCCCTGTGATCAGAGCCAAGGGTTCCTACCAGCCCATTTCGGTGATGAAGTAACTGAGGCTCCAAAGAGAGGTGAAGGCGCTCAACCAAGATCACATGGCCTTCGGAGGAGCAGTGGAATTCAGAGGCCAGGCTCCACAGCCCAGGCTCAAAGGCTTCAGCCTAGAGATGGTGACACAGAAGAAGGGCTCCACCAAACCCCCCAGACTATAACACTTGCTGATCACATGCTGTGTGCCGGGCACTGGGGTGGATGAGATTTGGGATACATGTTCCAGCAGGGCCATCAAAGTAGCCCTTCTCAGAACAGCCAGGTCCTCTACTCCACCTTGCTCTTGGATGCTGCAACCCCTCTTGCTTCTAGATTCATCAAGACAGAGCTTGAATCTTCATGATTTGTCTCCCTACTCCAAGCCTCAATTTTCCCACCTGGCAAATGGGACAAGAATATTCACAAGTAGATGTTTGTGCTTTGTCTCTGGAGAATCATGGGGTTAAGGGAGTCCAAGGGCTCCCTAGAGATGTCCCCCACAAAGCCCCAAGGGGAGAGGGTCGGTGGTGCCCTAGGAATGGAAGGGCAGAATCCCAAGCAGCCACCAAAAGCAAGATTTGGTTCAAATCGTGTATTCTGGCTCAAATATTTCTGCAAATTTTGCAGTCTACTCCATCATTTATGGGTGTTTATTGTATTCTAAAAATAAACTTACTTACTTCTTCCCTCCGTCCCTCCTTCCCTCTTTCTTTCCCTTCTTTCCTTCCTTCCCTCATTGTGCTAGGAATCAAACCCAGGGCCTTGCTAGGCTGAGCTACATCCCCAGCCCTGATTTTAGCTTCTATGTAAGTTAAATAACCTTCCCCAAAGATTCTCAAGTAAAATTGTAGGAAGGACTTTGCCTTGTAGCCTCCAGGAACAAGGAGAAGAAAGTGTCCATTTGGCAGTGACCATGTGCCAGAGCTGAGCTATGCAGTCGGCCTGCGTTCATCTCATTCAATGCCAGAGCGAGGCTGTGAGGCAAGGACTCTGATGACCCCCATTGTGCGGGGGAGGGGAAGCCACTTGTCCAAGCACCCACGTGCATCTGCAGTGGAGCTGGGTCCAGGGTGGAAGCAGGGTCCAGGGTCCAGACTCCAGAACTTGCTGGAGAAGCAGGTGTACAAGACATCCTCCAAGTGCATCATGGGAGTTGACACTTTACATCCTGCCCAACTCCTGCACAGGTAGGGCATCCCTGATCCAAACAGGCTGCAGGTCAGCAGCGTTTCCAGTTTCCCATTGTTTTGGATTCTAGAATATTTACGTGTGCATAAACCTTGGGGATGGGACTCCATCTCCAGAGTTCCTTTGCGTTCTGTACACACTTTCTACCACAGAATTTTGTGCATTTTAGTAAACCTGCATTTTTACTGTAACTCATCACATGAGGTAGAATTTTCTACTCATCGTATCATGTCACCATTCAAAATGCTTGAGATTTTGGAGCCTGTCAGATTTCTGACTTTCGGATTGGGATGCTCAACCTGTTCCCCATGAAGGAGGACTGAATTGTTGGCTGCTCTTAAAGTCCCACTGGTGCTGAAGGGCAGAGGTTCTCACTACCTGCTGATGCATTAACAATAAGCCAAGTCACACCGACATAGGTTCAAGCCCCAGCTCTACCACATCCAGCTGTGTGATGCTGGACATGAAGTAAGCTCTCTGAGCCTTGGTTTCCTCAGGAAATGGAGGACACAAACAGAAAAAAGACCAGAAGGACCTGGGTGGAATGCTAACCACTGTGGCCTCAGGGAAGTGGTACCAGGAGTAGCTTTGTTTTCTGCTCTTGTGATTGTCTGTCCTTCTGATCCTTCCTCTCAGGTGCAGAACCTGTGGATGCCTGAGAAGCAGTTGAAAGCAGTGGCTGGCACACAGTAGGTGCTCAGTATATGTTCCTGTTAATTCATGGGACAAGCTTGCTTTCGGTAAGTTACAAAGTAGACACGGTGACTTATATTTTCTAAAACTCAGTTATTCTTGGCTAATGGACCTGGCTCCATGTCCCCAGCCCTCACTCATGTACACACAGCCCCAAGAACCGCTCCCCGGTTCAAGGCACCTCTGCTCCCAGACTCAAGAGACTTCCAAGACAGTGAGTCCCAAAGAAGGCAAGCCCTACCTTCTGCCTCGGTGGGGACTTCAAGGCCACAAGGAAATGTGGGTGTGTGGGATTCCGGTTCCACGAGCATTTTCCCAACACTGCTGAGCACTGTCTGACATTGTGGGAGGCACTTCGGCAACTCTCCTGCTCCACAGGGAGGATCTTTTTCTAAACTGAGTCATTCTCTGGCCCTGGGTGACTTGGACGACAGAACTCACCTCTCTGAGCCTTTACTTTCTCATCTGTAAAATGGGGGTGGTGATACCCCTCTGAGCAGTGGTCAGAGGAACAAACAGGATTTTTCAGTCCCGCATTCATCGAACAATGAATTCTTGAGCATTTCCCAATGGTCCAGGCCCCTAGCTGGGCTCTGAAGGCACAGCAGTGGCCCAGACAGGTTCTTGTCCACGAAGTTCCTGACATAACAGGAAAGTGGACCTTAAGCACACAGCTACACAGCCGCTTCCACGTGGTAAAAAGGGAAGCTCAGAGTTGATGAAAGCACATGGCAGGACTGCAACCTGCCTGCCGAGGTGGGCCAGCTGCACGTGTTCATCTGTCTGTCCATCCGTCTACCACTCAGACTTCACATAGCACGGTGAGTTCGCGGTGCCCTGGGCCACATCTTGTTGAAACAGAGTGCTATCCACAGGAGCACAGCATGGTCCAGGCAGAGAGAACACTGCAAGTGTCCCAACACGTTGGCAATTGTGACCATTATTAATAAAGGTGTCACAGCAGCCAGAGGCAAGGTACGGTGACCAGGACCAGTAACATGGGTGACCAGGAAGGCAGAATGCTGTAGGAAGCCGTGGTTGGGCAGCCCTCCCTCCTGCCTACCCTAGCCCCCACCTTCCCATTCCAGGCTTCCCTCGTTCTTGGGAGGGGGAGAAGTTGGACTGGTCTCCACCATGGCTCAGGTGGATGCAAGATCAGTCACAGTCCCTACTGTCACAACCAATAGAGTAAAGAGACCAAGGAGGAGTGGTGGGAGGTCACTGAGATATTCCCAAGGCAGAGCAGAGCAGAGCGGTGAAGACAGAGACCCTTAGAGAAGGATGCAAAACTCCCACCCAGGAGCGAGCCGGATGGAATTGATGGGGACACACAGACAAAGCAGGGGGCACCTGGAGTAGGAACAGCCCCTCCTCTCCTGAAACAGGCACTGAGGTCCTGTCCCTGATGTGCACTAGACAAACAGCACTGACAAGGACCCCAGGAGGTCCTGGGGCAAAAATTCCAGGACGCGAGGCCAGGAGGGCTGGAACCCACTCAGGGAGGACGAGCAGCAGGATCACAGGCAGTGTGATCTCTGGTTCCGGCCCTTTAAGAGCCAGGGAGGAGGCGTGGCCCTGACCTGCCCTCAGTCATGGTCCTGGGGAGCCAGAGAACCCCCAAGCTAGCTCGGCAGAAGGGTGGGCTGTCACCCCCCACCCCGCCCCGGGACTCCCGGCAGTAATAGGGTACCAGAGTCCAGACTATGACCCTTGACCATGACACCTGCTGGTGTTTCCACCCCCAAAGCCTCCCTCACACCACTGTTTCCCAGGCTGCCCCTCCAGGTGCTCCACACACCCTATCTGCCAGGAGCAGGGACCACAGAGGCTGGGTGTCTTACCCTGGGCCCCATGGGGGTACGATGTAAGCCAGACCTAACTCTGGCCTCGGCAACTCACCTCTGGGCTTGCAACTGCTGGTCAGTCCCCCAGGCCTACAGTCAGGGTGGGATCAGTGCCAGTCTCCTTCCCATCAACCTCTCAGCCATAAGCCCTTTGTACTCCAGCCACACTTCCAGGCCCTTGGACTGGTCCTACCTTGCTGCCTCACTACCTTGATGCCTCCAGACCTGAAGATTCTTTCCCTTCTGTCTGAAACTCCCAGCATCCCTGTGAGGTCCTCCTGCCAGAGCTCTCTGTGCCTTGCATCTCCTGCCCCTCCCTCGGGGAGGGCTGCCAAAGTCAGCAAACAAGAACACAGGAGGACCAGTTAAAAGCAAATTTGAAAGTCCTTAAAGAATAAGTCTTTAGGCAATCCTACCCTCAGATCTCAGCTGAGATGTCACCTTCTCCAGGAAGCCCTCCAGAAAGAACCCAGACCAGGTGGATTCCATTATACGACTCAATGCCTTGTCTTTGACCCCTATACTGACTGGCCTCATGTCTGCTCCTCTGCTGTACTACGAATGCCAAGAGGGCAGGAAATCCAACCGTCCAGCAGTGTTCCCAGAGTCTCAGGGCAAGTGGATATTCTACAGCCACTTTCTGAATCATGGAGCAAAGGAGGGAGAAGAGAGGTGGCTTGAGGACCCCCTCAGCCAGAATGGCCTCCCACAGAGCCCTGGGCTCCCAGCCCATCTCCCACAGGACACCCCAGAGCACTGCTCACACCGTCCCCAGCTCAGAGAGCTGGGAATCAGGAATCATAGCCAGGACACAGTTATTTTGACGGCTGCTGTTAGTTCTAATTAAGACTATGTCCCTCTGGGGCCCACCAAGTGCCCTGTCACAGGCGGACTGAAGACAATAGTCACCGGTGTGGGTTATGTGGGCTGCAGAGCCACAGAGGGGAGCGGGAATCACAGCAAGGGTGTTCATTCTCCCGCAGCACAGGCTTTGAGTGCTCCCAGGCTCCTCGTTGGCCCAGCGCACACCATGTATTTTTGAGCAGAAGGAAAGCATTTACTCCCCCCTCCCCGCCCCACAGTGCCAAAAATAGCCCAGTCTCCTGGTTTGAACAGGAAGCTTTGGTTCCTAGGAAGAGGCAGGTGCAGAGGGCTGAAGGAGGGGCCGAGATGGCTGGCTGGTGGCTTAGACCCCTCTGTCTCCCCAGTCCCAAATGTAAAAAAGGGTCTGCTAGACCTGGCCTCCTGAGGCCAGGATCCCCCAGACACGGAAGGAGGCCCCGCAGGAAGGAGGGAGGACAGGGGTAGAAAACAAGGAGCAGGAGAAGAAACTTCCTTCATTCCCCAGACTATTCATTTACATCCACTCTGACAAATGTGCCCCAGGCCCAGCAGTGAGCCACACAGGAGGTGCAGCTCCGGCCCCCGGAGGGGAAGAGGGAGTGATGCTTGCTGGACCCCGAGACACCTCCTGTGGAAGTGGCCCTTGGGCTCTGGTGCCAGCTGTATGTGACAGGGGTGGGTCCCGCCCCCAGATGTTCAGTGCCTCTAAGCTGCTCTGAAGCACAGTCCAGGGGTCACCTGCCCAACCAGGTCACAGAGGGAGGATTGTCACATCAACTCCATCCACCATCCTGGGAGGCTTGTTTTGGCTCCATCTGCCCATTCTGTGGATGGAAGTACAGGGCTCTTAGGAAAGGGCTTGGCCAAAGTTCTGGCGCTAATAAGCACAGGAGCTGGATTTGAACCCAGGCCTAGGAGTCCCTGAGCTGGAGCTCCTGACACCAGACAGCATATGGGCCATCTCAGCTCCACGTGCCACCACCAGGCCCAGGGAAGAGAACGCAGAGGGGCAGACACGGTCACAGGCCTGGGACATAGAAATGGAGGGACTGGGCTCAGCCATCTGGTTCCAAATCCAGAGTGCTTTCTAGTTCCCACAACAGCTACTTGCTTAATAAAAAAAAAAAAAAAAAAAAAAGCTATTTTCTGTCCCAAAAGGCCAGAGCTGTTGGGGAGCCAAGCAGCCATGGCCCTGAGGCTGGATGGGGATAGCGGCACCCCATGCCGCTTCTCTGCTGCAGCACAGAAACAGAGTGAGCTATTTCTGCCTGGGTTAAACATTCCTCAAAGCCACATTCCTCCCTCCCCGCCTCCCCTGCCATGGAGTTCAGAGCACAGGGGCCTGGAAGCCTAGCCTGCTTCCTGGAGCCACTTAGAAGCCCACAAGTCTCGTAGCCAGCAGCTGTCCTGAGCCCCTTCCCTCCACCCCCACCTGGGCTCCCTGGTGGACATTCTGGGGCTAAGAAATGCAACCTCCCATATAGCACAGAGAGAGGGGCAGCCACAGGCACAGTCCCCAGGCCCTGGCGAGCTGCCAGGGTCAGCAGCACAGGTAACTGAACCCGTCAGCAGGAGACAAACCAAGGTGGCCTCCAGAAACACTCTTAGGAAAGTGTGAGGCAGACTATGTAGGCCATGTTCACTGACCCGACCCACAGGCAGCTCTGAGCCCAGAGCTGCATGGCCATCACCAGCCCAGCCCTCAAGGAGCTTACAGTCACCAGGGTCCCCTCTGTCACCATGCACTGTGTCCTTGAACCCAAACTATACTCATGAGGCCTCAGTCTTTTCCTTTTGTCCAACAGACACTTCATGAGATACCAGGGCTGTGCCAGAGGCTGAGCAAGCTCCGAGGGTCGGGGACCAAGAGCAATAGTCCCCTGCTCCCCGGATGCTCCCAACATCTCCCTTATGGACACATTCCCACAGGCCTCAGCTCTACCTCCTTCCTGAAGAATGTTAAGGCAGGCGCTGTTCCAAATGTCCACAGGAAGTATGGCATCTGGAGCCAGTGGGACTCTGTGATCACGACTGGAAGGACCCAACCCACTGGCCAGTCTCACTCCACATACCACAGTCCAGGACACCCAGCCAGTGTCTGCCACTCCTGCAGCTGCTTTGATGCCTGCAGTGACTGGACACTCACCATCCTGCACAGGAGCTCTGTGTCACAAGGCCCAGGATCATGGGAGGCAGGCATATTGTGTGAGGGCAATGACTTGAGCAAAGCAACAATAAGTCAGAGCCCCAGACTGCCTATTGATTGGCTAGGAGGCCTGGGCACAGCCCTGAACCTGCCTGCACGTCCTTTGCACCATCTGCAAACTGGGCACAAGAGTCACTATTTCCAGCCATAGAGAGATGACAAAGATGTGACATCCACACTCAGTACCCACCTGGTAAACTACAGTCCTCACTGTGTCACTCCTCCTGATGACACACCCCATGGCTATGGTGGGCTCCAGGGACCACCGTGGCTGGGGCAGGTGAAATATGGCAGCCTATCTCAGTACCAGAGGCTGAGCTCCCAGTTTCTACCACTGTTGCTGGCCTGCGTGTACCTCCCTCCCCAGCACCCCCACCCCAAGCACATCTGCATTTACAATCTGCACAGAGCTGCCCCACGCACAGACCTGACACACGTGCACGCACAGACATGCCAGCTCACCTACTCCTCACACACACCATGACCCCGTCACTCACACTCGGAGCATGCACACATGAGTCAGGACTCGCACACGTGGCCCACAGCACCCACCCAGCCTGCAACACCCACACAGGCCCCCACTCGTGCTCACACTCACCCGCTCACCTCCACAGCGCCTTCTTGGCACTTCCCACCAGCACTGGGCCGCTCGCCATGGCCCAGGGGCTGAGTGTGCAGGCTCCAGGAGGGACAGGACAGGGCTCAGACTTCAGCTGTTCACTTACCAGGCTAGCTCCCACCCCCTGCCCTTGTCTGTAAAGCAGCGGTTCACGTAAGGAGTTGGTGATGCACACACATGAACACTGAGCAGGGGCCTGGGCCACACAGAACATATGTAATACCAGACTCCCACCACAGTCACAGCCGTGGTCATCTGTTACTGGTTATTCTCTACCACCACGGGTAAGCAAAAGGAAGCATCTGGGATGAGCCGCCAAGTTCAACAGCTCACCTCACACCAACCCTGCTACTGGGTCTTATTATCCCAACTCACAGATGAGAACAAGGCACCGGAAGACCAGGACCATCCCGAGGCTGGACATTAGCCACAGAGCCCATGCACGCTCCATCCTGTGCACACCCAATGCTGGCACACTTTCCCCACGAAGTCATATCCTCTGGCAATCAGAACGCTGTATGGAAAGGGGCATGAGTCCCAGAGGGGACTAGTGACCCCAAAGTCACTATCCAGGCCACAACAGTTCTGGGACTGAAGCCCAGGCAGGTCATTCTCCCACCCTCTGAGCCCTAAACCCAGCTCTCTGGAGTTGGCCCTTCTTCCCCAGCCCATCAAGTCACTGCAGAGGGATGCAGAAGGATGAAGCCACCAACCCGGCCGCTCCAAATGTAGAGGCACATTTGCTTCCAAGGGCCCAGGACAGCCAAAACTTGCAGGACCCAGCTGTCCCATCCTCAGCTGAGATCCACGATACCTGGAAACTGCAGTCGAATCTCCAAGGTTAACTGCCCGTGTAGGTAGACCTCACAGGGGTGTGCAAAGTGTCTCGTTGTGTAGTGACGGTGACAAGATGCTCCTTCTAATTCATACTGAGTTTTTCCTTACCAGACTGCCACACATATCAAGGACAACACGAACTACATCAGAAGTCTTCAAGAAAGAAAGCAAGATTCACCCATCTGGACCCCACCGGCACCTCGCCACAGCACGGTGGGAAGCACCATGACACAAAGCTAGAGTCCTCGGCCCCTGCCACTTGCTCCTATGTGACCTTGGAGGAGGTACTCCACCTCTGTGGAAATCAGTTGGCTAACTGGAAAAGTAGGATTTGATTTACTAGAAATCAAAGAAGTGAACTCGAAACGGTGAACTTCTTTTTCCCCATAAAATTGGCAGTGATTAAGAAAAACAGTGACACCCAGCGCTGGTCAGAACACAGGACATTGGGCACTCTCTCATCCACACTGTTAGAAACAGAAATTGGAACATCTGCTCTGCATAGCAATTTAGCAATTTTTATTCAAAAGACTTTTAAGCCAGGTGTGGTAGCGCACACCTGTGTTCTCAGCCCTCGGGAGGCAGAGGCAGGAGTATCATGAGTTCGAGGCCAGCCTGGGCTACAGAGCGAGACCCTTCCAAGGATAAAAGGAGACAGGACATTGAAGGACATTATACATATGTATGAAAACAGAATAAAACCTGTGAAAAATTGATGGGCTGTGGAGTGATTCAGGTGGGGGAGCCCCTGCCTAGTGAGCTCAAGGCCCTGAGTTCAAACTCCAGATGCAAAAAATATATTTTTTAATTTTAAAATTGTATGTATAGTTATATATAAATATATATATATAAGGAGTATCTTTGTCACTGTCACTGCACAATGAGACACCTTACACATCCCTGTGAGGTCTATCTACATACATAAATATATATATATATATATATTTATATATATATATATAGAGAGAGAGAGGGCTGAAGACATGGCTCAAGTGGTAGAGCACCTGCATCACAAGAGCAAAACCCTGAGTTCAAATCCCAGTACTGCCAAAAAAAATGTTTAAAGGGGGAGAAAGAGGGCATAAGAGAGAGTAATAGCGGGAGTGAATTAATTAAAGTATTTCTGTGCATGCATGCCACACTCATAATGAAACTCCCATACCTGACAGTTAATATGTTCTAATAAAAACGGGAAAAGCCTTTAAAATGTCCCTAGCCTATAACTGTGTAACCTCATTTTTGCTTATTTATTTTCTTTAAGGAGAGATAGATATGTACAAAGATTTAGAACAGAGATGTTCCCAGCAGCACTATTGATATTTGAGGGGAAGAAGCAACTTAGCTGTTCAATGACAAGG